CTGCCTGGACTTGCTGCTTTTCTGGGCCTGGAGCTGAAACACAACTGACTCCTAGACATCATCACTGGGTTTAATGCTTAAGGAAGTGGTCGTGCGAGGGCTTGTGTGGGAGTCATTGGAGGCGGTTCTCCAGCCCCCTTATTCCTCCTCTCGGGGAGTACCACATGACTAGTGACATGCCAGGGGAGGAAAGGTCAGGAGAGGGTCCGAACCACATGACCCGCAATATGAAAAGTCAGGGGTCTCAACCGCATGACCAGTGATAGACTAGGGAAGGAAAGTTCACCCTGGGGGTGAGATCACACCTACAATGGTCTGTTACTAGGTAGCTGGGCTTTCCACCCTGGTGGCCTTTTATACCTGGCCTATGGTTCCTGCTCTACTCAGGTTGTTCCTGCTAAATCAGATTGGAGGCAGATAAATATTTTTAAAATTCTGTTTGGGTCCTTAAGCATTTACTGATCACCCTACTGTAAGTTATCAATTATCTGTTGACACAATAATTCTGCATTAACAAAGTTAAATGACTTAAAATAATAAGCATTTATTTAACTCTCAGGATTATGGCTGGGTGATTCAGGGTGGCTGCTTGTCCTGGTCTTGGCTGAGGCTTCTCAGTGGGCTTTGAGGCCTGAGGAAGTCTGGAGGGTTCCCTTCAGGAAGGAGTCATATTTAGCTCTGACTGTTTAAAGATGACCAACTGAAAAGGCAGATGTTAATAGAAAATTGGGGTCAGAAAAACAGAAAATTTGGGGTGTAGAGGAGCATGGTTTAGGGCATTTACTTTGGATAATGATGATTTTTGCTTTTGTTTGCCTAAAATCACACATTGTTAAAAATGCTGAATTTGATAAAGCCAGTATCCTTGTTTAAAAAAATTTCAGTTGAGTATATTTAAAGATTGTATTGCCTTTATTCAGTGATTCATGGAATCAGGCGGTTTCCCACCTAGCAAATAAATACAAGGGCCCTTCTGGGAGCTGTACGAAAATGAAAGACTTTCCCAGGCAGAAGGTGTGGGGCTGGGAAGTTCCTACCAGAGAATGGGTTGTTTGTGTCACCTCCCTGCAGAGGACAGCAGGGGTCTGTCGGGCAGATCATTTTGCTAGTGCTGACCAGGTGGGCTGGTTTAAAACTCCCCGCCTGGGGGAGGTGGACACTCTAATTAAGTTAGGTGGTGTTAAGTCTTGGTTTGGCGATGTGGGCATAATACACAAAGTGACTACAATTGGGGCCTGTTGTCTCTTTTTTTTAATTCCCCAAGCTTATGTTAAAATAATTTTTTATGGCAACAGTGTGAATGGGCCTTAAGGTTATTATGCTAGGTAAAGTAAGTCAGCCGGAAAAAGACAGATACCATATGATTTCATTTGTTTGTGGAATGTAACAATGAAAACAAAACAAAGGAACAAACAAAACAAGCTTACAGAGGCAGACAGCAGATTGGCGGTTAGTGGAGGGGAACAGGGCGGAGGGAGGCAAACAGGTAGCGCAGCTCGATGGTGTGATGTGGACAGAAAGTAGACTTTTGGTGGTGAGCATAAGGTAGTACATACTGTTGACGATTTGTAATGTTGCACACCTGAAACTAATATGATGTTATAAGACAATATCTCCTCAATAAAAAGAAATTACAAAATAAAGTATTTTTTCATATGCAAATTATGAACGGTCTACTCAAGTGGTGATCAACTAATATTTGCTTCCTCCTAATTCCTTAAGCATTAAAAAAATTTTAATAGGTTTCTCTTTCTTTTTCTTCTTTCATAATTTATGATGTCATCCGTTGGTGAAACATCCAAATATAACACTAGTTTAGCCCTGAAGGGGACTGTGAAACCATTTAGTCCAACTTTTATCGATAAAGGAAAACAAACAAACAAACAAACAGAAGCTTGTGTGGACTTGTCCCAAGTCACCTAGCAGAGGAGTCACCTAGCATAGAATAGAACACTGGACCCTTGGTTTCCATTCTGGTGGTTCCCTCCATGGTTTAATTTTGTTGTTGGGATTTTCTCTAGCTTCCTGGGAAAATAAATCAGTGATGGCATTTGCATAGTGCCTTATAAGCCACCTTCAGATACTTTAGTTTGTGGTCGAAATGAATAGCTGACAGAATCTGATACAATAGTTAAATATTACTTCTAATCTTTTGGTCTTCTCTGTAAAAAAAAACAAACAAAAAGGAATTATAATGTTCTGTCTCAATAGAATTGTTCTGCCAACAATAGAATTATTTTAAGTAGTACATAAATTGCTACAGTGTAATCACTTAGGCACATATTCATTCTTTTCTATTTTTATTATTGTTAATGTTATTATTATTGTTTACATCTATTTCACAGACTACACATAGATGCTGGATGAATGGGGTCAATTCCCTTGTCCAGTTTTGTTGTGCGTGGGGGAAAGAGGAAGGCACGTGTCCTTGGGATGCTCCCTGTGTGAGCTGAGGGATCTCAGCCTCTGATCTTGTGTTTAGCGAAAAAGGGAGCCATGTTATTTTGGCATGTTTCCTTATTTAATGTTGGAAAGCAACTAAAAATAGAAGGCTTAAAAGAAGGTCATTTTGTCAATCACTGCTCTCTGCATCATTCTTGGCTCCCGTTGCTTTAGGATGCTGCATTTTAAGAGTAAATTATTTGGTGCCTAAAAGGAAATGGAATTTCTCATGGAGGAAGGATTTCTAAACAAAGGGACAACTTATAAATATAAGTCACAGAAATAGCCATCATAGTGAGCTTGCAGTGAAACAAAATATGAATTTACCAAAGTTTACCATTGGAAAAATTCCTAAACCCTGTGGTTTGTTGTTTTATGGAAAGGAAACCACTCCTAAGTGTTACACTGTGTTAAAATAAACCAGCAAAAGAGAGAGCCTGAGAAATGAAGCTTCCAGAAGCAGACCAACCCAAAAAGCCCCCCTTCCCATTCAGATGTATGGTTACTCCAGCCTCCCCCGGCACGTTCGCCCTCCCACACTGCCGTTCCCCTCTCCACAGCCATTTAGCTTATGTAAGGGAATAGCAGAAATACCCAGGGTTGGTCTTTGTTGAGTTATTCTGAAAACGATACAGGCGGAGCTGAGAGAGCATGCTTACCAGGGATTTAATCTTTTTGGAATCACAGACCAAGTTAACAGTGAAGATTAGAGCTAAGGAATTGGGCTCGGGAACATACATGCATGCCAACATACACAAAACCTCGCAGACAGCTTCAGGATGTGGTGGGCTCCCAGAAGCCTGTTTTGGGACTTGAGTGATGCACCTGTGTTGTGAAAGTCGACAGTGTCCCTGGTTTTCCTCCTTGCCCAGCTCTCTTTTGAGAGCTAAGTGAGAAGAAAGAATTTAAATGTGGTACTTGAGGATGGATCCAGTCCAGAAATTGCAAAAAGCTGACTCGATATAGTTTTGGGGGGCTCACCTTTTCTCCACTCATTAAATACGTGAAAGGTCAGATTCTCAGCTGTTCATGAACCAGGAAAGGAAAAGGGAAGCAAAAAGGAAAAGACCTGCCTCTTAAGTGACACTGTCACTTCCTAACAGTGCCATTTGGACATATTTTTTATCTGTCCAAACAAAACAGAAGAACTACATATATTTTGTAAGCAATTGTAAAGGCGGACATTTCTTTCTGATGCTAACCCACTCAGGTTTTACAAAAGAATCTCTATTCTATAGAATAGTCCCATTGTGTGAGAAGACCTTATTCAAATGTAAATTTTAAGGTATTCTGGGGAGAGATACTTTGAAGAGAAATTGGATTAAAAAGAGTAATGGAAAAAAATGAAAAAGGATAAGGGTAACAAGGATAAGTTGGAAAATGATTGCTGGATGATGCCATTTGATTTGACATTTTCCCCTCCATTCTGTACTTTAAAATACAGAAATTTGCTTGTAGGTGAAAATGCCTTGCTTTAGTTTTTTCCTAGGGGTTTGTTAATAGCCACGTCTTACTTCCCTTTCATTGTCTTTATTAAAGCCAGCTATGTTTTGCCATGTATAATGCACACTTTTTTGCCCAAATTTTGGAGGGTAGTACTGACTATATAAATATTTTTAATCCTTTATACTTGTGCTTATGTGTTAAAAGTGTAACTCTAAAAAGTAATAATGATATCTGTATGCAAAATAATGCTCTGGAATACCATAATTGGTTTTGTTTCTAAACATACATAAATAAAAAATTGAATTAAAATATTAAAATGGAAGATTTTTTTCCCTGAAAGTTTGGGCCAAAAGTGTAGATACACAGCATACACGGCAAGATAAGGTGCGTGTCCTCTGTGTGGATACGTGGAGCTCCCACTGCATGCGAGTGAGTGCCCCGTGGCAGAAGCAGGGTCTACACAGGTTCCTGCTTCCCTGGAAGTCCGCATGCTTATAACCTCGTTTGGTTCCAGAGGCCATAGGCAGGTGAGAAAATGATCCACTGCGTGTGGGTGAGCTCTGATCCCACCACCAGGGCTTGCTGACTTTGTTACCTTGGATAAATGACCTAATTTCACACAGCCTTGGCATCCTCAGTTTTCAGGGTTAAGACATTTGTGAAATGTTTTGTGGCTGGAAGACACTGTACTTCTCAAATTGCATAGGAAAAAACTCCTACTTTGTTTAAGACCATCCCTGTGACTGGTATACTCGCCAGAGTGCCTGGCTTATTGGGGTAGATAGGACTTAGAGCCAATAGTGCTAGTAGGTCTTGTTCCATGTATTATTTCATTTATTAGTCATGACTTTTCTTTGAAGTAGATACTATTATTATACCCCCTTTTACAGGTGAGAAAAATAGATGTGCAGGGAGGTCAAAAAACTTGCCCAAAGTCCTCCACAAAGGAAGCAGCAGAGCTGGGGGTTGAAACCCAGGTGGCCTGACTCTGGAAGCCACACACACTTTTCTGGCCTTTCCCAGAGCTGCAGCGTATTCACGTGGAGAGGAGAACGTTGACCTGTGGTTGACGCTGGCACTTATTTAAGATTTTTTTTTCTTTCCTCTCTCAGGTATCTGACAACAAGCAGGAATAGAAATTTCCTGCTTACCATGAGGCCATTCTTGAAGAGGGCCATTTTGGTCATAAGTTATGTAAGTACATATGTGCTTTTGAAATATATGATAAGGGATGTTTCACTTTAACTTAGCTCAGAGGCATGATCCAGATTATTTAATAGAATCAGCAACAGAGTCTAACAACTTGATGTGAGGTTAGGGTCAAAGAGTTAACATGCCAGAAATGTTGGAAAGCATTAGAAGGGACATGTGAAAGAATTCTAGGGACATGTGAATGCCATGACACAGCCAGTGCAAACTACAGTGTTTTACAAGTGTCTTTCAGAGTGCCGACGCTGAGTCGTCTTGGCTGAGTCGTCTTGGCTGAGTTGTCACACCTCACTATATCAGTGATCTGTTGCTGCAAACCAACTACCCCACAATGGAGTGGCTTAAAACAACCACTTGGGCATATCTGGCCTCAGCGCTATAGTTTGGGCAGCATCCAGCTGGATGGTTCTCATTATGATTTTTACTGGGGTCACTTAAATCCGTGCTACTGTCAGCTGGGCTGGGTGGTCTCTCTGTGATATCTCATCGTCAAGGCCCCTCGCCGTGGCTGCTCTCACTAGTAGGACTGCCAGGCCTTCATTGCAGCATGGCAGCTGGGTTCTCGAACAACCCAAGAGTTGCAGGGCCTCTGTAGAGTCAGGCCCAGGACTGACACAGTGTACCTTCCACCACATTCTGTTGGTTCATGCGACAGTAGACCAACCCAGATATAAGGGGGTGGGACATGTGTCCACTTCTTGATAGGACAGAGGAGAATGCTTGTACAAAGATGATAGGAATTCTTGGTGGTCGCCTTTGGTGACTGTCACATTAATCATCCTTTTATGTTGTTGGATGTTTCTATTCAAGGACATTAGGAGACCAATCTCTTTTGCTGTTGATGTGTCTCATACATTTCCTGTCAAGATTTAGAATGAGTTTTGACAGGAAACTTATGAAAATGCCTTTGAATTTATTGTTAACAATGTGAGTTTTCTCTCAACCTAAAAGTATGTTTATGGAAGAAGATAAGTATGAAAAAACTGAATGAGGTAGAGAGCTTTGACTAGAAGATTTCAGAAAAAGGGGCAAAACATGTTTGTAAAGAATTCCCCAGTATCTTCGCAGCAGGATAGCACTAGTTAGTGATAAAATTCCATTGGGTATCACAAAAACATTCCCCGGGGTTGTTGAAATAATCCTTCATGAGGATTGTGTTCTGCTTCGTGTCATTCAAGGGTTGTAACATTTCCAAATGTGTTCATTCAGGACTCAGCAGTATTACCTATGATATTTAAATTAACTTTTTTTGAGGTTATGTGAGTGGGATGGTTATGAAATAGGGCAGTGCAGACCAGTGGCACAGGTTCAGTTCCTGGGTCTTATAGTTTCCCGGTCAGTTACCTAGTATATTTACTAGTAAGTGTGTGATACTGACAGTTGTTGGTAGGAATTTGCTTGCTGCTCCCTCCTCACCTTCATTATTCCCTCTTCCCCCTCCTCTGCTATTTCCATTTTTCCAATTCGTTTTATGTGTAGAATTTTATAGAAGTGCTCAATAGAAAAAGTGTTTGCAAAACAAAATATTTGTAAAGCATCTGGAAATATCCTCCAGAAAGGTGGGTCTCACCCCAGCAAGTGATGGTTTCCTTACTGAACCTTCTTTCCCCTCCCCCCCCCGAAGGTGATTGTGGTTTTGTACTTCCGTCTGTGGATAATGGGAGGGTCTATGCCCCTCTTTTCAGAGCAAGATAATCCAGCTTCATTTTCGCCTTACATTCTTACAAGGTGAGTGGAAATACACTTTTGTAACTTTACCTGATATTTGTTAAATTGTTTTATAATCTTAAATGATAAGTTGGATTTTACGAGGAGGAGGATTGGTGTCCTATTCAGGTTGTGGGTGGAAAATAAACTACTATTTATACAATTGGAATTCTTTAAAAAATGGTGCAATTTTTTCATATCATTGCTATTGTTCTCATAATGGTGTATATAGATGTGTGTGTTTATTCAACAAGCATTTTATTGAACACTTATCATCAATAATAAATATCTAGTGAGTGACCCGTGTGTCAAATGTTACAGAACAATGCACAGAGCTGTATAGAGGTTGATTGGACGTCATAACAATTTGTAAGATTAACGTGTGAGGAGGATTAAAGTGGCAAACAAAAATGAACAACAGTTGTTGCTAAGATACAGCTAATTGTATCTTACCATGCATCTGTAAGAGATTTAGAGGTATGGAATCAAGAAAGGATGTTGATCAGTGAGTCTAGTTCATTGAGAAGATTTGTAATACCTTATCTATTTAGTCTTCTGTGATGTTCTGCTTGAGGCTTTCAGATATAATTATATTTGACAATATTAATATATTTTTTCAGGATATATTGTTGCTATAATATTTATATTATATTATGTATATTATGTAAACATTATCATGCCCTGTTCGTAAATTTTTTTAGTTTTATGTACTTAACATCTAATATCATTTTCATAATAGTAACCTTCAATTTTGGGAGCTTTGCAATGGTATATAGTTCTAAATTAAAACTTGGCTTCTTTAGCCATTTCTATTTTGGTTTAATTGTATCTCTTAGGGACAACACATTGCTGAATTTTGTTTTTATGCCAGGGTAGTGATCTTTGCTTTACTTCATTTTTTTACCTTCTATGTATTAATTGGTAAATTTTTCATTTTCTTTGCCTTGTATATATTTTTTTATTGTTCCTAGTCTTTTCTACCTTTCTTTAAGAACTATTTTCCACTCAAAAAGGATACCTTCAAAGGATACAATTGATTACACCATTTTTATAGTAGATATTATGTCACAATTGTTTTCATTACTTACAACATGTACATGCATTTTAAAAATCTTGCATATACCTTCAGAAGTCATATGGTATTCAACCTCAAGGTCAGCTTATTTGTTTGAGGGATGACTATTAATTTACCACAAAACTGTCAACTTACCCTTGTAATGTATATGTATTGTTATAGGAAGGAAAGTTGCTTTTAGTCTGTGGTTTACCTTTCTAACCTATTTGGGTTATAGTCTGTAAACAGTCACAATGAGCATTTAAAAAAACCCTAATGCCATTGAAATCCTAACTTTTTAAGAATAATATTCTTTGTTTACTTTTGTCAATATGGTATTGTAAGAGGAGAAAATGTAAGAAACTGAGGACAACTTGAAGCACAAGGGCAAATGTGAAATAAACATCCCAGTAAAAACTTCTGCACAGAGTCTGCAGCTGTTTCACAGTCAGGCTGCAGCTGACTCAGTTCTCTTTTTGCTCTTTCCACTAGTTTAAAACAATATCATTTTTTATGGAAAATATCAAATCTGTGCAAAGGTGGAGAAAATGGCATAAAGAATCTCCTCATGCCCTTCATCCAGTTTCAACAATCATAACTTGTGGCCGGCTGTTTCCTTCACACCCCTGCCCTCTTTTTTCTCCTTGCTTTGAAGCAAATACCAGATATCGTCTTCATTTATATGCCTATATTTTAGTGTGTATTTCTAAAAGACAAGAGTCCTTAAAAAAGAAGCACAATACCATTACCATACTTAAAAAATTAACAAATCTCTAATATCATATATACCATCATTGTTTCAATTTTTTTGTGCTATGATTAGTTATTTTTAATAGTTGTTTGTCTGAATTAGCATCCAAACAAAATCTGTTCTTTGTTTGATACGTCTTTTAAGACTTATAATTTCATCAGTGTCCCTCTTCTTTCTGCCACCTGCCCTACCCGCATACTACCCCGATCCCATTCCTATCATTTGTTGAAGAAACTGCCATCCTTTGTTCTTGGGAGTCTGCATCATCCTGGATTTTGCACATTGCAAGCTTGTGGTGTCATTTAGCACGTTCCAGCATTTTCTGTGTTTGATATAACCTGGTATAATAAAGGGCATGATCAGATTCAAATTTATCTATTGATTTTTTTGACAAGGTGACTTCCTAGGTATGCAAATCCACCTGGAGGGCATCTGCCTGTTAGGCTCACTTTCTGTGATGTTAAAGTTAATTAGTGAGTTCCAGGCACCTGATTTAGCCTGATCCATTCATTAACTTTTCACCTAATAGTTTTTTACAGCCATTAATAACTATTGCTTATAACTGTCGTATCAAGAAAAAGAGATACTATTTTTCAAAGTAATTTTTAAGACCTGGAGTATAACTGAGCAACAAAGCTGAGTGATTTTCCTGCTAAATTTGATGGTTCAGCATTCTTCCTTAAAATTGTCACAGAGAAGTGTACTGAGCTAAGAATTTTAGGTAGGTTGGAAGCTCTGTGAAAAATAGAAGCACAAAGTGACCCAATTATCTTTCTATGGCAATGGCCTTCTTGTAAGACAATTTCTCAGGCCCATGCCTAAAAGGGATAAAGCAATTTTTTGTTTTAATTTTTGTTAACTAACAAAGTTTGTAGTATATACAACACTGTTGGTACACTACGATTTTATTAAAAATAACAGAGAGGAGAGTGTTGGGAAACACCATTGCAGTATCCCCATTCCTTTGACCCATTTCTGTGTTTGGACTTGAGAGTTGGGCCAATGAATGATCTCCATCCCTGAGCCTCATCTGATCATTGTTAACCATTTTCGACTGCCAACCTTGGAGGAATAAAAGGCAAGGGAAGGGGATCAGTGGGGAAGGTCTGGGAAGGATGTGCCAAATTAGTAGCTACCTGTTGACAGGATTTCAAGGTGATTTGACTCATCACACTAGAAAGTAACTTAGAAATTCTCTCATCTACCCACTTTGCAATCCGAGAGTCCTTCCAAAGGAATCTGAGAAATAGGGGAGGACTTTTCTTCACAATCCACAGTCTTACGGTGCCTGTCTCATTCTGCTTCTTTAATTCTGTGCATCCCATTTTCACTATTGGATTGTACGTTCTTCGAAAACAGAGAAATTATCTCATGATTTTGTTTAATCCCATCTAGGATGTCAAAGCTAAACACAGCTGGACATTAGTTAAAGCAGAGAAAACGGAGTTTATTCAGTAACTGCTGACAGTGAGGGGAAGAGCTGAGGGCCCTTCTGATTTGTGCACAGCTGACTGGATGCTTTAAAAGGAGAATGAGAGAGGGGCCGAACTGGGGCTCCGCAGAGTCGGAGGTGACGAATGACAAAGATTAGTCGATGTGACTGTGATTTGGCTGGTGGAGCCTGCTGGCAGTATTCGAAGTGAAGATGTGTCCTCCTAAAGAGACTAGGAGATAAGCCCTATCCTTCCTGATGATGGCATTTTAATGCAGTAGCTGTCTGGTCCTTGAGGAAGACACTTCTGAGTTGTAAGACATACATATTCACAACTGTAAGCCCATTGAGGTAAACACTCTAAAAAAAGGGAGGGCAGAGGCCTCTCCTCAGGTATCAGCTAGAACAAACAGTAAATTCTGGCAGTGATGAGTTTTCCCAGGCAAGCGTTTTAGTGGGAGGCTGGACCATCCTAGGACTATGGCCTTAGGCTGCTGGGAGCAATGCTTGGGTTTGGTCATTTCCTGCTGCAGAGGTTAGGATGCAGTCTGTCATGTGCTGAGACTTCTGCAGTTGTCAGGGTCAAGAACACTACTTAAGGAATTTGTGTTGACTGGATATTTAAATAAATTCCATTTTCTTTATCCCAAATGGAAGGGGTTAAGTCAGAATGTTTTCCACTTTATCGCAGTGCCTAGACGCAGCCAGGAAACATAGTAACACCCCCATTCGTATTTTCTTCCCTGGGTCCACCTGGCTGTTCTGGTTAGCAAGGACCTTTGTTCTTGCCTCCTCTTCAAGGCTAGTTCTTCCATTTGTGAATAAGATACTCCATCTCCCTACCACAGCTATTTTGATTTTTTGGAAATAGTTCAATATGGATCAACTTGCTATAAAATGATAATCAGTCTGTGATTACAATCATTAAATATTTTCATATCTACTATTGGATCCTGGGTACTATTAAAAGTAGACAGTTCAAATGTCTCTTACCCAGGGACTCCTACCCAGTGGGGCAGCATTTCTGTTGTATGCTTTCATCAAACTTTTCCTTCAGAGCATTTATCTCAGGTCATAATGTCTTTATTTGCATGATAATTTTAAAGTATATGTCATGGAAACTAGGTCAATACTTATCCACCTTTGAAAGGCCAGCATCTACCACAGTGACTAGAAACTATTCGATATTTTCCAAAATGATCAATTTAATGACTAAAGGATCTCCTTCTGATTGAATCTTTTCCTGAAAGACAATGTTGCCAGTGTAGAAATGCTGTTTAATAGACACAGGGTGAATGAATGTTTACAGAATGTCATGGGCTTCGAGCCATGTTTCAGCGAGTCTTTTTCTCTTTGTAGATTCCTTACGTATTCCTACCTCTTGGCCTTCAACATGTGGCTCCTGCTTGCACCTGTTACCCTGTGCTATGACTGGCAGGTTGGCAGTATTCCTCTGGTGGAGACCATATGGGACATGCGGAATTTAGCCACCGTCCTCCTGGCAGTTGTGATGGCCTTATTGAGCCTGCACTGTTTAGCTGCCTTCAAGGTAATTTTCTTAAATGTAAACAAACTCTGCATTTGAAGATATATAATCTATAGTCATTAATGCTTTCTTTCTCAGCTGGAGGTCTGGGTCTAAATTGAATCTACTGTTTTGTCTAAAAAACTTTCTGTATTTAAAATTTTCCTGGTAGGCAATATATATTTTAAAGACCTTAATGGGTTTGACAGGCCATGGTCACCTTAATTATATTTCTTCTGCTGTTTCTACTGACCCTGAAGAAATTAGATCTGAAATTTAATGCTTGCAAACAAGATATGTTTTTTCTGCTGTGGTTGGTTACTTTTTGAAGTAATTTGTTTGATATCATGTAATGTTAAGTGAGATAATAATAATATATGCATAAGTACTTGAATTACATTTAAGACTCTACTTCCACTGATGACTGCCTGCCTCAGTTGGGTGATACTCACTTCATAAAAAATGATATAAAACTAGAAAAATTATTGACTGCAACTACTTCAAAAATGATGAATGTCAGCAAAGAACTTGAAAATGTTTACTTATGAAAAATTGCTACTGAATTGGGTAAGACGCCTGAGGGTCTTCTCATCCTCCCAGTTCCCCCCTTCCCCAGCCCCATCGACCCATGTTAAGAACTGGTTGACTGGCTAGGGGTGGCTGATTTGCTTTGGGAGAAATCAGAGCAGCTAGAAATTTAGCGGGGAGATTTTGGAAGCAAAGAGCTATCTATGTAAGGGCTGAGATAATATGCTCTCTAAGCATTCATGGCCGACTGCCCAACAGCACGTGTGCATGGTATCCCGTAGGGAGCACAAGCAAACTTGAAAGCCTGGGGAGACTTACTTATTTGCTGCAAATCTGAATGAATTCCTCAACCCATATATAGCTTGGGTAGCAGAGAGTAGACAGTTCACTGGCTTAAGTTGTTTATGTATAACCTCCACTGAAATCATTGGCTGATCACAAACTATCCAGGCACTAGAGAAATACCCCAGAGAGTCAGGGAAAAGAAAAAAAATCTGAGCAAAAATTTCAGCTCTCTGTAGAAAAACAAGTTTTTTAGTTTGACTCCGGGCAAGTTCATCATGTAATAAAACAGGAAAACCAGCATATTTCAGAAGAGCAAAATAGAATAGAATCACTACAATGCATAGCATACAACATCTAGTTTTTAATATTACTGAATATGTGAAGAAACAGGAGTGTGACGCAAACTCAGGAAAAATAATAGTAAAAAAAAGGAAAATAGAAAAGAATTGAGATTCCCCATCTAAACTCACATTTACATGATCAATGGACTCTTGACAAAGTTACTGAGAAAGGATAATCTTTTCAATAAGAGATATGGAAGTAATAGAGGATCTGTCATCCTTCTGTGTTATCAGCCAGGGCTCTGGAGGAGGGGGCATCATGTAATCTACCCCATTACAATTGTATTTATTCCTACCTGATTTTTTAATTAATATTTTAATAATTGACTTTACAAAGCTACAAATTAACACATGTAATGAATAAAACAGCAGGTTTGTTATTTCCCAATCACTCCCTCAAACCCCACCTCCATAAGCTTCCTTTGAACATTTGTTCTTATACATTTTTACACTCACTAAAAACAAAAATTCTTTCTTTATACAAGTAAGTAAAGTTAGATACCATTACAAATTGCAGGCTCTTTCAGACCACTGCCACGCCCGGTAGAAGTACCCCTGTAAGTGAGTAGCTCAGGAGTAGGTGTTTGACTTTTGACAAGCACCTTGTCCAGGATGGAGTGGGAGAACAGGGATACAGAATCTGAGAGACTTCTTTCTGAGCTAACTGCAGGAACACCTTAGAGATTGTTTGTCGCCCTGAGTAATGTGGAGCAGTTAATTGGGTGTCATCCCACAAAGTGAAAGGTTGCAGCTGGATTCCCAGGCCCGGCACGTGCCCACTTTGCAGGTGTGGTCCCTGGGTTGGGCTACATATAAGACTCAGCTAATTGATGTTTCTGTCTTTCTCCACCCCCTCTTTCTACCCCACTTTCCCTCCTCCCTCCTCCTCTTTCTAAAAATAAATAAAACCTCCAGAAAGTAAATACATAAAAAGATTGTTTATAATTTTTCCTATTTTCATGGCATGAGAAATTTAAGAGCTCAAGGAGTAGTTTATTATGTATCATAGAAGAGCTCACTTGGCATCTTTAGGAATTTAAATGTAGAATTTGTTGTATTTTGTGCCCCTTCTTCATCCCTTGATTCACTAGCAGTACATTGAATTTGTATAATGTAACAAAGATAACAATCTAGAGATTCATTACTGGACTGAATTCTTTCTAACAATGAATTGCAGAGTGAACTAATTTGCTCCTATTTTTAGTGATGAAGATAATCACTTTGTTGGAATGTATGTACAGTAGAAAAAGACAATATTTAAATCATGAGTAAGTCGGATTATTCCATTTTCTTCTGTGAATAGTGAATGTTTATATATCAGGACAACCACAGGCTGAAAATGCACTTGGGCTTTCCTTTACGACTCTTACAGACTGTATGTCTGTCAGATGGTTGACCTGCAGTCAATGGCGATGTATATGTGGACAGCAGTCAGTCTGATGGGGTTGCTGAGAACAGCTGGTAGTACCATTGGTCCTGCTCTTTATAGCTGCCCCTTTCCCATGTCCTCTAATGTGCTTGTCCTGCATTACAGAGGAAATACCATTAAATTATATTTAAGAGTAGTTTATTTGTTATTGATTCTTTATTACATTCTCACAGGGTGTCCTATATTTTGAGCTATTTTTACAGCTTTTACAATCTTGTGGCATGCTTGTAAAAGTAAAACACAAGGAAAGAAGAAGGGGGTTAGTGATACACAACTTTCCTCATAACAACCTCAACAGTGCGGTGTCCTTTGAGTCCCTTTTCCCAAGTATGGGGCTTTCAGAATTGTTTTGTTTTATTTTTAATTTTAGTAGGAGAGTTTACTGTTTTGTCCTAATCTATTCATAGCATTGCACATCATTCCTTGAACCTGACATGAATCCTAGGCCACACCTCTGGGCCCCAGAGAAGAAGTCAGATTTTCATGTCTACGGCAGGACCAATCTGCAGCCTGACCTATGGAGGTGACCTCTAGTGACAACTTGGTGGAAGTGGAGGGGTAGGATGGGGTGGGACTAATGTATTTGCTCAGTAGGGGAGAAGCATTCATCTCAGGATCTCCCCTTGTGCCTGACCTCAGCCTTGCTCAGTTAGCCCCCATGCTAATCCAAATCACAACCCCATCAATACGCTGGTTAAAAGAACGATAGCTATTGGATGGGCAAACAGTGACCGTCAGCCTTAGATCTCTCTTCTTTCAAGCCCCCACATATCTCAACAAGGAGACAATGGAATGAGAGCCACTATTGGAAATTGATTATTTGCTCATTGACATTCTTACCTCATTCCATAAAGGACTTGGAGCAGCTTAAGGGGAAAAAATGTAGTACAGTGGGATAGAGTAGGAGATGGAAACAGTTTTTTCGTTTTTTGAAAAGAACCAGATAGTAAATATTTGAGGCTTTGCTGGACATACAGTCTGTCACAATGGTTCAGTTCTGCCATTGTATCGTAAATCAGCTGACCCCTGGTATAGGACATTGTACTGCCACAGACCCACACAATCAAATTGAACATGCTTTCAGATCTAAAAATTATTTTGCATTTTGTTTAGCCAAATAATAGGTTAATTTATTGTGGCACGCAGATTACTGTGGAGTAACTTATAAATTCTAGAATAGCCATTATGTAACCTGGTAAAATAAGCATGTTGTTTTAATACACTAAATGGTGAAATAAAATTGAACTTAAGGAATGTAGATTGTTTTTAATGGTGAATGGCTCTGTGCCAATGTTGATTTTTTTCTTTCAAATTTCTGGACTATATTCTCTTTCCAGTTCCTGTTCTCTGCACACTCCATGTTCTCCATTCTTTTTCTGTCCTCAATTCATAAAAATCCTCCCCAGAATATTAAAAGTCCAGTTTTTCTCTCCCATTTACAACCCATCTAATTTGTCCTGCTTTGGGACCATTGCAATCACTGACAGAAGAGGTCAATAATATCTTGGCACAGTTTGTGTGTCCATGACCACCAGTCAAGGGAGTAGCCATTGTCTGGGATGCCTCTCTGTTTCAGGTTTGGCCAGCCCAGTGTATCCAGCCTCTTGCCACTGTGCTCAACTGGCTTTGCCCCCTGCCACCTTTTTACCTATGTGATAACACCCAGCTATTTGGGTCATGGCTTTCAAGGTCAGTGGCTATAATTAACTTTAGTTCTTAGGTCATGCTCCAAAGCTGAGATTTCTGTTTATATCACTGTTATGATGAGAGTTTGAAAATGACCTTACTGCTCCATCAGATGCAGTGTTGGCAGATAGGAAAGTTGAGTCTGCACCACATTGTAAAATAGAATATATTTAAATATGTATGGGGACTGCCTTTTCCTACATACTTTTATGTCATTGCTTTGCTATTTGTGATACAAATTATGGTTTATGTTCTATCACCTTAATTTCATTTGGTAGTCTACTTTAAATTCATGGCTCCAAGCCTCAGATAGGAGCCAGTCTCACCTCTGTGTCAGAGGCAGCCCACATATGCGCGGGAAGGGGTACTGCCCAAAGTTCCAGATTAAGAGTCCTGAGGCTGGAGGAGGGGAAGTTGTGCAGTGGAGTGACTGAGCAGTCAGCACTGAGCTGAGGCAGAGGCCAGGCTCTGCCGCCAACCTGCTGTGAGTCACTTCATTCAGCCTTGTTCTAGGGTCACAGGTGGTTGAACTAGTGTGAGCCATGTGCCACTCGGCACAGTGACTGGCGTGTGTGAAGCACTGGGAACCTGTCAGGTGTCTTTATAGTCTTTGTCGTCATCATCACCATCACCATCATCATGGAATTGTCATAGCTTATTGTCAGGAGCACAGTAAAGGTTCCTGTTTCTGTTTTGTAGGAAAAAAAATGCATGAAAAACACAATTCGTTTGACTTTTTTGACTGTATATATTTC